AAGAATCTTTAAACGTGAAATTTCATAAAACAGGTATTTCTTGAGTTATAAGTTACTCAAGACCGAAACACCGAAATAGAACTACCATGCCCATTGATACATAGCCGAGCCATATCAAACCAACATAAAAGTTTGATTGGGTACTAAAATTTTGTGTAAATAGCAAGTTTTAATGTAGAACACGGTTACGAAAGGATCGTCTAAATAAATTTCTAGTAATTAAATTTATTGAAACAATCAATTTTCAAATTTGTTTTGATCTATATTGTTTTATAGGTATAATTATCAAAAAAGTAGATGCTTTTAATATCATCTTGCCCATAAAATATTGAATTTGACTCATATTCAATTCAATTTGACTTAAAATAATTAGTAACTGTCTAAACCACCACCGCTATCTCAAAAACCAGTAAATTTAAGAAATAATATTTGAAAGTAGAGATCAAAAGATGTATAAACAGCCATCACCTTAGCGTTGCTATGGAGAGATAAATGGCAATGTTTGAAAGTCCATAACAAAAATATTTTCATTCGTTATTAGTTTTCTTAGTTGTGAGCTCTGTTATTTAGTTCACGAGATCTTAATATAATTTTCAAGTGCACTTTATTTAATTGTTTTTATAATATGTATTGCTAACTTTAAATTTAAGTGAGTAGGGTAAAAAGGACAACTGAACTATTACCTTGACAAAGGTGTAAGTAATAAAAAAATTGAATCAAGTTAAAAATAGCAATTTTACAAGAGATAAATTAAATAAATATTTATTCCAACTCCGCTGATTAATATTTCTGATGAAGTACCAGATCAAAGACTAATTCTGTAAAAAATGTATCCATGAAATTTATATTTTGCATTCGTTGAATAAAGTAGCCATTATTGCGCAAAATTTCTTAAAAATTAAAAGTAAGACGTTGGACCGGTTCGTCTCCTGGCCGTCCCATTTTAGTCCGCCTAAGGGGTAAAAAGGACCAGTTGTCATTTTTGTAAAACAGCAAAAAACATGCACATTTCTACACTGATGAATTATCTAGGAGTTCTACTGAACTTAGTCAGATAGTTGTTTGTTTGATATGTGTTCGTTTGGTTTTCACAATATAATTGCTCAAAGTCAAATTGAACCTTTGTGCCTCGCTTGCCTCAAGTATTATTCTGCAAAAATACATAATGTCTTTGAAACAAAAGTTAGAAACAACTTGTATAAACATTCGTACCTAATTAACATCGTAGATTGATATAATAAATTTATTACTAGTTAGTGATATATTTTTTGTTTCATCATAAGTGCTTTACTCATAGTTAAAAAAATCAATAAAATTTAAATAAAAATAAATTAAATATTTTTTGGATAATGAGCTTCAGTATATTTCTTTTAAAATTGTACATAAATTTAACATATAGTATTATCTCAATAGCATAACAAATCTTAAGTAACATAAAAATTATTTAGTGAACTACTATGAGTATACCTATCGTGTGCTGTAACATAATATCATTCTACAATGGGTTAAAAATAAACGCATCGATTCAATTTATCGATGACAACCTTTTAAAATTTTAATACAAATATTTTTTCGATTAGATGCCTATGCATTTAAACTATTTTAGGAAGAATATTTTCAATCGTTACGACTTTAAACCTATTTTCATACTAGATTATAGGGTCATACCAATATGATATTAAGACTGCTTGCATGAGTGATTATTGTAAAAAAATGTAATATGTAATATTTTTAACCATAAACTTGTTTGACTGATATAACAACAAATTGGCAAAAAAAATTATACATAAATGGCTCACTTTTAGTCACCATGATTTGATCACATATGCAAGCAATCTTATTGCAGTAATAGAAGTACTTCATGAAAACATTTCACAACTTTTTGAATGACTATATTAGAAATCATCAATACTTTAAATATTTACAATAAATTATATTTGGCAACATTAAAACAGTTATTTAAATATATAGTTAAAACAGTTATTTTAATATTTCATATTTATCTATATAGGTTTTTGACTCTACTTGGCAATATGTATTGAAATAGTTTTAATGATTTTCGAAGATATGATAACTACTTAAATACAGCACTTGCATATAATATGATTATATAATTTATCACTAAAAGTTTCTTAAATAATATCACTAATGGTCCAGGTTTAATGGATTTATATTTTCTACTTTCATTTATAAGTAACTTCAATTATTTTCTCTCTTTTTTTAAATATTTTATACAATTTAAATAATCTAGAAATCCAATTATATATCTTTCATAAATATTTACATTAATTCATTTGTTTAGTAATTGGTCTTTCAATAATTATAAATTATATTTCCAAAACTAACGTAATTTAATTTTGGAAAACTTTGGGTAAGAAATATGTGTTTTTATATTAGTCGATGAACTTTCAAATCGTTTTATATAAAATGGATTGAGATAAATTGAGAATGGCATGGGATTAGTCATTATAAAATAAACAATAAGTATATTAACCCATTCCACTCGGATGGCGCCGCTCCGGCGGCAAAATTCATATAAATCTCGGAATTAGCGAGTGGAAAAGGTTAGACTGTAATATTAAGTCGATTGCAATAAAAATAATGAAAATTTTAAAATATGGTATTTGTGGCAAAATGGTGTACATGACTTTCACAATCATAATTAAATTGCATTTTTTCTTCGCCATTTTATTTTTGTTTTGATATTATTTTTGAACCTCGGACAATAAAATCGGTCAATGTGAGTATGTAGAAATTTTATCTGAATATAATTAATTACCCACTAAAGTTCGTAAATTTAACATGACTATTCTGTCATCATTTGTGTCCAGGAATTTTTAATTAGTTTTAAATTTTTACTTTAGTTGTGTCCAGGAATTTTTAATTAGTTTTAAAATACAAACAAATTTAACCCAAAAACTGCATAGCTACACAAAGATCTCTCAATCCTTCCATATCAAACCAGTCATATTCGATTCACCAGTCGATTTGTTTAAATTTTGAACGTGAGTCATTATATTTTTGAGTATTACTATTCTGTTTTGACTATTATTACTATTCTGTCATTGGAGTTTAGGAATTTTTAATTAATTTTAATTTTACTGTTAAAATACAAACAAATTTAACCCAAAAACTGTCTAGCTACACAAAGATCTCTTTAATCCTTCCATATCAAAGCAGTCATATTCGATTCACCAGTCAATTTGTTTAAATTTTGAACGTGAGTCATTATATTTTTGAATATTAATATTTAATTCTGCGTAATTCAATAGTTGTTAAGGATCTATAAATCACTCTCTATTATTTTACTTATAATGTGCGTTCATATACCCAAAGCTTAAAACAAGATTTGATTTTCCATCAGCCAACCCATATCGATTTGGCATCTATCTACTTACAGTTCAAGAAATTGTTCGACTTCTGAGCCGCAGATTTAGTATTTGATTGATAAGGGTATAATCAGGGTATGATTAGCAGTTCTTTGTTAGTATCACGAGTTACAATATAATATAATCAATTTCATAAGGTGACCATACGTCCCAATATTTGTCCCGGCTTTAGATTTTTTGTCCTGGATTGTCCAGGGTTTTCAAAAAGTATAGATTTAAATTGAATCTTCGCAATTGTCAATAATAAAATTGCAACTACTCATGAAGTATCTGAAAATGTTATATACAACGAGTATGCTTGTATCAAACAATACGTTATGAATGAGAAAATTTCCGAATACAAAATTCCAAAGGCAGATTAATATTGCTTCTCGCATTAATGATAAAAAATACTGTCCCGGTTTTAACAAAAAAAAATGGTCACCTTATATTTCATCAATCATTCATGAAAACGTAGCGCGTCTTCGAAGGACTCCCTGGGAACTCCCATGTAAAAATTGATTTGGTAGTCCTAAGAAATGACAAAGATTTCTCAAAAACTGAAAAAAATGCATAAAACCGAAAGAAATATTTATTTGTTATAATTTTCTAAAAACTTTTCAAACAAATTAAATTAAATCTCTACTTGTATTTTTTTGCTGACTTTAGTTTTATTATAAAGATTCTTCTGTTGGTTATGAAAAATTGGGTAGGTACGTTCCTGATCATTCATTTAATTGAATAACAAATATTATTTTGTAAAATTACACTATAAACGAAAATTAAATTAAAACTATCCCAAATGTTATTGGTGTCATGAAAACAAACTCCTTCTATATAAAACAATAATTATCCCAATCTGGACATACGGAATTGAGCTATGGGCGTACGCAAGCAATTCAAATATAAAAATAATTCAAAGAGGGCAATCAAAAATTTTAAGATGCATTGTGAACGCACTCTGGCATATTATAAATGACGATCTACATAAAGACTTAGAAATAAAAACTATTAATGAAACAATTAAAGAAAAAATAAATACCAAGAAAAATTACCAGGTCACTCAAACAAATATTTAAAAGATCTAAGTGAGGAATCTCCTACTCGAAGATTGAAAAAAAATGGCCATACGATCTTCAATGAAATGTCAAAAAAATAAAAAAGAGATATCTCATAGGAGATAATCTCTTTAAGTATAAATACAGGTTTAAGCATATTGTCTTAAAAAATTATTTATTATGTTTAAAAAAAATTAAATTATAAATAAAATGCACATTTAGTACAAATTTCCTCACTGTGTTAAATCTCCTTGTATTATACTCTTGATAGATCTGCATTCATGTGCATGCAAATATATACATATTCTATACGTAATAATTCATTTTTTTATGAACAATCATTTTGTGTTATTTCATATACCTTACAGGTATCAATATGACTTGATATTATATTATTCAGGATCAAATGAACCTGAAGTTGAAAAAACTGTTTAAAAATAGGTGAAATTTTGAATTCGTTTTATCCTACAAAAAATCACTTTTCTCACTATTTATATTAAAAATTTCTATTACTTGAATCTGATCTTTGAATTCAAATTTTTCAGATATATTGCGAACTCACTACACTTTTCACTTGAATCACGATATCACTAATAAAGAGCCCATGATATCACTGACGAATTTAAAACTTATTCGCGAATAAATACGAATTCATTATAATGGTTCCAGCGATTTTCTTCTGCGTCCATTCCTGGTTTAAGTTCGGCGGCTGAGCCTGCTGTTCCTGAACCACAGCTGCCAACCATTCTAAAGCCTTGTTCGAGCAGCATGTCGAAGGCTTGTTCTAAGAAAGAATGCTTTAGGAAGAAACGTGATGTGTACCTGTTAACAAAAAAATAGTAAAAGCAATTGTTAGTTCTTAGTTATTGTGCACATTTATATACCAAACAAGTACTTAATGAAATGGCTCATTGTTTTATATATTTATGATTGCACGACCTCGGCGAATATAAAAACATTATAAGAGGCCGTCAATTCATCATATGAGGCTTAAAACAGAAGGCAAGGGTTCGACAAAAACTCACGAAATACCACGTCGGGGAAGGAGGGTCCAGTAAGATATCGCGTGTATTTATCAAATTCCCGTAGTGTAAGTTATAATAATCGTCGAAAATGAAAATTGTTACATATCTTTAAGTTTCAGAGGTCTCTGAACATTTTGGCATACCTCATAAAAAATGGATGTGTGTATGTGTGTGTGTGCGTGTGTGTATGTGCATGTGCATGGCATGGCATGTGTGAATACAATTTTTCGTCAACGTTTTGGGCGTAAGAATTAACCGATTTGAATGGTTCAAACGAAACGAAAGAAGGGTTGTATCACCAAGAGGCTGAGGGGGTTCCAAAATTCTTTAAAAATCGATCACGTGATTAATGGACGTCCTCTAAATATAGAAAAAAATTCCGACTTCATTCAAACGAACGTTAATGGAGCATAAAAAAGAGGACCATTTCCAATACAAACTGAAGAGTAATAAACGATGAAAGGTTAATATATATGGTCAAGAAATAAAAGATCGTTTGAGAATTTTTAGTCCCATTCTCGATCTCTCAATGGTTCTCTTCTCTTCATTTCAACAAAGGATTTCCGCAGAAAACTTATTGAAAAGGCGTAACTTTAATTAGATAGCTCTGTACATCAAGCTACTAACCCAACAAAAATATGGTTTGTATAGAATATGAAATGTTATGCTTTTCTCAATGTTGAAAATAAAATTATACATTCTTTATCTTATAAAGTAATAATTTAACCCTTTCGACTCGGATGCTCGGATAAAATTCATATAAATCTCGGAATTCGCGAGTGGAAAGTATTATATCAGGCCCAAAATGCTTATCAAGTTTATGTTCGGTTCCAAATATTATATATATATATATATATATTATATATATATATATATATATATATACATAATACTATATTCTAGTTATAAAAGCTGTATTTTATTTTAAAATAATATCGTGCAAAATTAACTATTTCAAAAAAATTTAAGCTAATTGATCAACCAAATGACGGCTTGTATTGACTTATATAACTGTTCAATAAAATAAAAAAAAATTGCGTTTTCGAAAAAAATGAATCAATTTAGGAAATTAAAACAATCGTCAAGATGTTAGTTGGAGAATTAGTTAAGGGGGTATTCTAGTGTAGAAATTCAAAAAAATCCAACTTTTTTTTATTTCATATTTCCAAAGTTTAAATATCTAAGAATATGAGTACGAGAAGGTTTTTGAATTATTTTCGGAGATATAGGTATTTTACTGACTCGGTCTCCATACTGGTTTGACTTCAGGCAAAACTTTAAATGCGTTTTTCTCAGAACAGGCTTTTTCAGTACTGTTGACACGATTTCGCGAGTTTTAAATGACTCGCTTCACTTGAAATGTTCAAAGAGTCTTATTTATAGACCTATCTAGAGCCCGAACTAGGATTATCCCCAAATTCCAATATTTACTATTTTTAAAAAATTCGAGAAACTCAAAAAACAGTAAGAAAAACACTTTTTGTTTAAAACAGTCGCCAATTTGTAAAAAAGAATTTTTTTATTCATCGCTAGTTCGGGCGCTTGCGACATCATTGTAGATTAATAATCTTTTTATTTTTTGCATTTCCGATGGCTAGGAGGGCTGAAACCATGTCAAGACTGAGGTGCCAATTTTTTGAGACCACCCACTTTATCAGCTGCCAGTTTTCCAATTTTTAACTATTTTATTTTTTAATTTTTATTTTGTATTTTAATAATATTAATAAACAAGTGGTAAAAAAATGGATAGTAAAAACATTCATTGCTTGCTTTTACGACACTTTAAAAATGACCTAAAATTCATCGCTCTGCACTATAATACCCCCTTAAAATACTTATTCAAAAATATTCAAAGTCAAAGTTTAGAGTATTAGATCACAATTCAAGCATTTAACTTTAGACAATAAATTTATATATATTTGTAATAATCTTTCATAATATTACCTGTCCGTAAGTCCATGATCTGGATCTCTAGATTCATTTAGTGTGTCACCAAATACATCGCGACAGAGGGTAACTCGTCCACAAACAAGAATTCGGGATAATTTACGGAATTTAACATCTGCCAAACCATCCCTGCCAAATGCAAAGCTTCCACGGTAACCGACTGTTATGCATCCTGAAACAAATAAGAAAAATTTCAATTACTATTTTGAAATATTGAATATTATTTTATTACGAGATCAATGCATCTGTGCAATTAACCTATGATTGTCTAAACGGTTTGAACGTCTTTTCAATTTGATAAATATTTCTTACATACAAATGGGCACATACAAACTATACTACAAACGCATGTACTCATGTACATGCAATATTTTATATGGACAAGAAGTCTTGAATCATTATATCATGTTAACTGAGTTGAATGTACCAATGGCAATTAGAAAATTTAAATATAAATGCAGAAAATATACCGAAATACCTCAACAAGAAATAAACTTATTTATACCATATACACACATTCTATTCCAGTTTTTCATAAGACATGCCAAAATGTTCAGAGGTTCCTAAAACGTAAAGATTTGCAAAAATGTTTGGATTTAAAAAAAAATCAGGTAAAAGATATATTACTATACTCCTTTCTCCCCACGTAATAATTTGTGATTTTTAGGGATTTTTGGAACCCCCTCCACCAAACATCACGTGTATTTTCAGTTATGAAAAAAATTTGTAATTTTTTTTATTTCATTTGAAAATGTTTGGATTTAAAAAAAATCAGGTAAAAAATATATTACTATACCCTTTTCTCCCCACGTAATAATTTGTGATTTTTTGTCAAACCCTCCCTCCCCCTAAAAACTTTACGTAATTATTGGCGCTCTCTAAAAATGCATTATATTGCTAATTGTCGTTTTTGTACCACACAATTTATCATTTTTGCCAAAAGTCATTCACAACTTTTATGTACCGTACTATATTACTTGCCTAATGCATAAATGTATATATTTTTAGAATGTGATCTGTAAGTGTTTGTTGATATTTATGAATAGAAATAGATCGTTCATATTCCCATATACCAATCAAAATCATCATAACGCTGCAAAACTTATATAATTAATCAAAATTTATAAACCGCACAAGAAAAGTAATGTAACAAAATGCATAAATGTGATAAACAATGATAAAATAAAAATCACAAAATATATATTAAATTATGATATGCATATAAATTCAAACGAACAAAACATTGATTTAATTTCTAAATACCCATGCTGCGGCTACCATAATGTTTGAACCGGAGTTGCAACAAGTGGTACTTATTCTGAAATGCGATTACGTGCTCCAAAAAATTAAGAAAACGTTCATAATATTTCATACATATAAATATAAATATTAAATTAACAGCAAAATTATGAACCCTGTGTACATGGGTATAAATATTTTAAGACTGTGAAATGCTTATGTAATTATTATTTGTGGTTCCATACACATTTTTCCACATCGTTAATTATACATCTTGTAAAATATAACTAAGTAAATTTATTGTGCATCAATAGTTGGTCAATATGTCTTTCTCAAGATTCTAGTACGATTGTTGTTATTGTACTTGGTCTTGGAATTCAAAAGCATTTGCAAATTTAGTGACTTTAACATTTACAATTAATTTCACGTACAGAAGAATAATATAGTATATTTCATTTTAGTAATTATATGTCACTAATTTACTTAAAATAAATAATTTCATTTTACGAATTGTTCTTACCTCCTTGTGGGTCGCATCCGCCAGGCGTCAAGAGCCGCACCAGACCATCCAGTCGAAAATGTGTGGCCTCCTTCCGCAAACGAGCTTTTTCTCTAAATCCTTCGGGTAGGTTTTTAATGTGCCATCTCTTAAAAAGTCGAGCACGTACCGAAAAAGCACACCATCTCGGTCTAAAAACTTTCTGCCTTTCGCATCACTTGGAAGGTTGCTACCCCCAGAGGAGAAGTCTTCGTGCAATCTGGATCCTTCACAACTGGTCAAAGTGGATAAGGAAGCACTATAGTGCACACCACCGACGTTCAACTCGACTATCGTTTCACCAGACATTTTAAGTAATTTTGGTTTAATTCGATATAGTAATAGATGATTTGTTTTAATGAATCATTGTAACCACACTGTTAGATTTTGTTTGTTTTTAAAATATAAACTTCATATGGTACCAAATTGGCATACCAAATATAACACACAAACTTGGAGTCCTAAATAGTCATATCATATAAGCAAATGTATTATAAATATTGGCACTGATTAAAACCAAGACAGTTCTCGGATTGCACAATCTTTACCAGCATAAACTGGAAATTACTACTAATCACAATAATGACCCATCCAACAACTGATAAATAACACTGCAACTTGAAGAATCAAATGTCGACAAATCTGGTTGATGTATTTAATTAGTTTTGGTGTCAACCAAAAACGTGTCGTGTTTCGATGTGGCACCTCTGAATACTGGTGTCACAATGTGCTCCGAGCCTCCGACTTGATAAAACTGATTCGGGAGAGGAGCAGCATCCGCGAGCATGGCAAGCTCCAGGGATCAATACAGAAAGGGGCGCGGGCGGATAGCGCTCGCGCATTCGGCGAGCTATATATATATATATATATATATATATATATATATATATATATATCAACTCTTTTAAAAGATCAGTTATCATCTTAAAGTCAATTTTCAAAACGACGATAAATTTAATAATCAATCTACCACACCAATATTAAACTAGTGGTGTACGACATCGTGCCTTAAGGCAAATTTTAAACTTCCCATACCGTAATGAAATATTCGAGGAGTATTAAATGTTTTCAAATAGTAAATTATAAATACTGTAAAATTGTCTAATATTTATAGGAATTATATAAACTGAATTGCAAAGTTAAAATTATTTTTTTAAAAGTATATAAGTGAGCTTTAGAACTTTAGCCAGAATCAAAATTAAAATCCTAATTATTTCCGATATACAAAAAAATAATATTGAAATAAAAAGAATTCAAAAGCAATTGTTTTGCCAGCACATGCAAATACTCCAATCATTATAGAAAGTTCACCTCGGAATTCGAGATACCCGGCTGTAAGTCTATAAATACCCTAAAACAGCGCCTTAAAAGTTGTCTCAAAACCTACATATGGTAGGTTATACGTACCATATGTAGATTTTGAGGCAATTTTTAGGGTGCTATTTAAGGGATTTGCAGATAGACTTACAGCTGGGTATCTCAAATTCCGAGATTCTTACCTAATTTAAGCTTAAATGACTGGACTAAAAGTCTTTTGAAGCATATCAAATCATATTATTCAAATCGAATGCTTAGCTCGCTGATAAACTGCCATTTTATGCACATTTAGCTACGCATTTTTGAAATTGCTGGACCTGTCTTTGCCAAAAACTAATCGTCACATCTCCCCATCATTACGAATTGAAAGTTTTCTTAATCATACATATCGAATGCTTAGTCCTCTCAAAAACTGCCATTTTTGCATATTTAGCTTCGTATTTTCAAAATGGCTGAACCTGCCTTTGCCAAAAACTAATCTCCACTTTTCCCCATCATTACGATTTGAATGTTTTTTAAATCATTCATATCGGATGCCCCGTTCTCAAATTCATCTCAAAAACTCAATTTCTATTTTCTGCACTCTTTGCTTTGTATCTCCGAAATGGCTGGACCTGCCTTTGCCAAAAACTAATCAGCACATCTCTTTATCAATTAGAATCAAATGTTTTTTGAACAAATCAAATCAGTTGATCCGTGCGCCTGAAAACGTGGACGGAAAATTGCGGTCACACAAAACACACACATCCATTTTTTCTAAGGTATGCCAAAATGTTCAGAAACTCTCAAAACGTAAAGATATGCAAAAAATTTCAATTTCGATTTTTGGACAATTACAATAACTTACCCTATGGGAAGTTAATAAATGATTATGCTTCGTTCATATTTTCAAACTAAATTTTAAATGGGATCTAAATTTGCATTGCGACAAAAATACCTCATTTTGGATGTTCACTAATTAAATTATTTCAGTAATACACATTTCTAGTATTTAATTATGAGTCTAATGTATCTATGTATGTAGGAAATAGTGCCAAGTAGAAAGATAAAACTGATAATACATGATAAAATTTTGTAGAGTACAATCCATTTGATGGACAAAATTGTTGCCTTCGGGCTCACGTTTTTGGCCAATTAATTGGAGTGTATCAAGTAATTATAATTACGATCCATCACATTTCTTGTGTTGGATTTCGATCGTGATCTCATGTGCTCGACGATAGTGGACAATTATTATTATTATTTGTGTTCTGTCTGTAGACAGAACGCCACAATTTATTCCCGTTTCTTTTTTTTTGCTTGTGATTCAATTTTTACATTTCAAACTTTTGCTTCCATAGTCTGTTTTGAATTCCTTAGTGTTTTTACTTTTTGCATTCATCATCTGCTTTCTTTTTCGTTATAGTTGTTTCATCCTTTCCAGTTATCATTTGATGGCCTTGTGCAGATAGCACTCGTTTTCCAACATGAATCGGATCTGGTATCAGTTTCTTCAGCAAATCGATTCTCAATTAAGTTATGCTCATCATAGGTTTCACACTGACTTTAGTTAAGATGCTTTTCTAGTACTTGAAGTAGTCTACACCATCTATGCCACCATCGTTTTGACACTCTCATCCATCTCTCTTCAATTTTGATTTGTCGATGTTTATCTCCGTTATGTTTATATTTTCATTTATCTATGTCCGTTACCTTCACCTTACCACATCGACAATTAGAGTGAAAATCGTTACGTCTAAGAAGTCCATTATCCTTCTATAGCTTTTATTTCAATCATTTATTTTCGAAAAATTTAAAATCAAAATCTCTTTCTTTTATTGTATTTCTCCAGAAAAATTTTGTCTCCATTTCATCGAACATCTTCCATGATCACCGCGTCGATCCTTCTGTATTATCGGTACTAACTTGACCACTAAGTTAACTTTCTTAAATTAATAAATAGCCACAGTTCATTGTTATTTTTAAGGGTCGGAGATTCTCACGAAAGGTCTTTTTAACTCCGTAATATTCTGGAGCTCATTTTAACTCTGGAATATTCTGAACCCCATTTTAACTCCGGAACGCAGGAGATCATTTGATCCTTTTTTGTGAAATATTTTTACCTACTGCCAGAACATATTTTTTTACACATCGCAGCACCTGAGCCCGCCAGAATCTATCATTCGAGTCGAGCATATGCTTCGTACATTTTAAGTACATATGACCCAAACATGTATCTATGTATGTATTTACGGTTTCAAGTACATTACAAACTTATGGTTTATATGTTTTCCTGGATACAACGTGTATTTTGTTGTGTCGGGATTATTTATGTCAAATTTCATGTGAAAAATATATCAAATTGAAATATTGATAAAGGCTGACTGCAAACATTTGTCTAGGTACAAACATTTTTGAACAGTTGTATAAATCTTTTCATGAGAACCAAAAAAAATATAATTTACTTTGGTACCTATTGGCAACCTGTCAAAGCAATACTTATTAGGTTAATTGAAATAGAGAAAGGTTCGAGTTCTCATCTATCCATTTTATTATTAAAGTTATTTAAAAACAAGTTTCTCTTTCATTACAGTTACTCTGAAAAAATACATATTACAAAGTGCGTGCAATAAGCAATCGATTTTTCAAATTGAAGTACGACTTATTTTACAAGCAAATTTTATTACGTGTAGAAAAGAAATTAAAGTTTGTACGAAAAACTATACAACACAAAATATTACGTAAGTGAATAGTTTTCGTATTTTTACACTTGTTCAAACAGGTTTTATTTAAAAATGATTTTTGAAAAAAAAATAGGACAAAAAAATTAAATTAATAGTCAATTTATTAAATATTGATTAAAAATTACATTTTTCAAACAAATTTCAAATTTCTTAATTCGATTCAAGTAACTCTTTTATGGATTCAAGAGTAAACTAGTTGGTATTGGTATTTTACCTTGAGGCAAGTAACATAACTTCCCGATATGTGTAAATAATCGACTTAATCAATAAAAATAAATTAATTTATGAGTGATTAAAAGTATTCCGAGTGGATTTATTACACATAATTGAAAACGAACGAACACGTTAACTCGGAGTATTTTCTAAAAGCAAATTTCCACAAGTCAATGATTTTTATAATTGAACCAGTTTCTGCAGGACTTTAATGGTTTAGTATGTTCGTTAAGACCAAGCACTCTATCGTTATACCAAAGTAAATCGTCTAATTTAATTTTAACAAATGTAAAAAAACCACTCATTTTTACAAACTTTGATGATTTTTTAAAATTAAACTACTTGTCGTAAGGCCGTAATATTTCAGTAAGTTCTATAAGACCATGATATATATCGCCAAATATATTTCCATGAAAATCGGCTTATATTTTTTTTCAACAGTTAATTACAAGAAAACGGCTCGGTAGATTGTCATCTAACCATTCCCATCTAATATCACTCGAACAGTTTTTGATTTTTTAAAATCGATTCGTTAGTATATGAACTCAAAAGTGGACGAAAAGTTTAACACTTTTTTCCAAATGACAAAGAAACGGCTCGGCCGATCGTCGCACAAAATTGACAAACAATAGTCCTCATCGAGATACATCGAATGGCTTTTAAATTTTTGAAATCGGTCTAGCCGTTTTTGAGAAAACGTCGATTTACGGCAAAAAATACTTTTTCCAAATTTGGTCTCATTCGATTCAGAATGGCTTAAAACGTCGAGAAAACATAAAATTAGCGAAACGGGTTTTTTTATGAAAACATAAACTTCTCCTTCGGGAAGTTAATAATGAATTTGTTGGCGTTCGAAATAGTTTTGAATTTCGAAAATCTACTTATATCTGATATTTTTTTTTTGAAATATAGAAATTTGCAAAAAAAATGTCTTCCATTGCTAACATAGAAGGAATAGTTTGAGAACTACTCTTTGTTTGTAAACGTTTGGGAACTTGTCTTTAAAACGCGGGAGAAAATTTTTATATTAAATTGTTGGTTACTTAATCATTAGAAAAATTATGTTATCAGCTGCAGAAAACCGGATTCAAAAAATATATTTAGACCAATTCCCTCAACTACTATGACAGCCAAATTCTTAACGAAAGTGCTGTCATAAACATGTCAAACGCGTTGCTAAATTTTCAACAAAACTAATTTAATCAACTATTCCATAATATGTGCAAATTGAATAAATGCATGTATATTCATCTCATTAAATTGTAATCAAAATTATTGGATTTATTGGCAAGAATCATGGAGTGCGAACTTTTTATATAACTGTATAACCTAAAAATTATTCATAATCGTTCATACTGTTTTAGAAATTCATCTGGTTCTTACTGAAATCTAAAAATGGTACATTTAATATTTTCACATCATTTTCTATTCTTTTAATTACTTTTGTATTGTGTTGGTTACTAAGATTATTTATTAAATTCATTCATTCTTTAATAATATTTAATCATACAAATTTTAGAAAAATGAATTTAAAGTAGAACCAGCACATGATCATCCAGATTTGTTAGAGCAATGTTGTGAACTAATCAATGCTGAATGGCCGAGAAGCCTCGGTGCAAGGATGAGAAGTTTGATGATGTCTTCAGAAAAATTACCAACTAGTTTGATTCTGTTAGGAGACAAAACTAGTGTTATTGGCCATGCCAAACTAACACCGATACCAAGCATGCCACAAGCTTGTTTTGTGGAATCAGTTGTCATTGCGAAGAATCTCAGGGGAAAAGGCTTAGGAACAGCACTAATGTATCAAGTAGAAAAATACTGTAAAAGCAAATTGAACCTCAAACAAGTAATACTATCTACCCAAGGACAAGAACAGTTTTACAGTAAGTTAGGATATCAAGAATGCCCACCGATATCATTATATGGAAGTGGTACCTTTGCAATACCTAATTTTATTAGACCTCTAAAAAAAACTTATATGAAAAAGGACATATAATATTTATTGATATATATTTATGACAAATGCCATTTACAAATCCATGATATAACGCTTTATTTAATAGTTGCCAATCCACATATTTTGTTGTAGTGTTCTTCTTGGTATAGAGAATCTAATAGAAAATCTGCTAAGTCATATTTAGAAATACTTCTTCCAGGTGACTTATTATATTCTACTTTATAAGGAGCTCTTGGCTCATCTACAAAATAGAACATATCATAAAACTCAAATACAATGTAAATAGATCATACTTTATTTTTTACCTGCAATATGAGGAGGTAAAACTGCAATATATTGTAAATCACTACTTTTTAATGTATCTAACATTCGCTGATGATCTGCATTTAAATCAACGAACATTTTTGGAACTTTATCAACTTCATAAAATAAGAAAGCAGATAAGCAAACGGATACCTAAAATTGTAAAATATTATGAATTGTCCTGAAACTTTGATTTATCAACACAGTTAATTATTAGAAATTAGATAATAGTATGAGATGATAAGAAAATTTATGAACATTATGAATAGATAACAAGCAAGTTTTAACTAGAAAACAATTAAATAATAATAATGATAGTCATCTTTACAATGTTTATATGTTTTAGTAATTAACAAATGTTAGTCTTCCCATTTGATCACTAAACATTTCTTTAAATGCCTTATGTCCTTATTATTTGTAAGATTTCAAATAACTCATTAATTTATTACCTTAGTCACTTTGTGTTCTTTCATTGCATTAATAATATTTTTCAAGCCTTCTGAAAGCATTGTTGTTGGTTTCAAATCATCTCTTGTTCCAAGAACAACGCAAACTGCTTCTGTACCTTCAATAGTTTGCGACACATCGCTAGGTGACAATACATCTCCAACAACATAGTCGGCCTTACTCTTCAATTCATCAGGAACCCTATCCAAGGATCGTACTAATGCTTTAACTTTGTATCCTATTAAGTTAAATATATTATGTATGTAATATATATAAATTATTGTTATATATAGATTATTTATGAAGTTACCAAAGTTTATAATATATTATATTTATATTTAAACACATAATTGAATTTTCTTATTTACCCTTATTAATAGCAGATTCCAAAGCACAAACTCCAGTTTTTCCAGTAGCTCCGAAAATAGATATCTTTTTCATGATTTTAAATATAAATTATTATTTCTATGCAAGAACAAACTTCAATAAATAGATTTAATTATTCTTGTGTCACGCTCAACGTAATATAAATACTTAATTGCTTATACATTTATTTTTCAACAACTCTTAATGCAATACAAGACAATAAGTGGATATCAGTGTTGGTAATCATTTCGGTGCGAACGATTTTCACAAAATTTACTTCTATAATCTAACCAAAATATTTTTATCAAAATTATAAAAATTATCAAATTGTGGAATAATTTATAATATATGATTTGTTATTTATTATGCGGCATTTTTTCAAAAAAATATTATTCTCAATTATTTAACAGTATTACCATCCCTGTTTAAAATTAACGTCATGAAGTAGTCCATAGATAAGTAGAATACTCTAAAAATAGATAACAACGTTTAATTTTTTTTCTAGGCGTTCATGATTGAAGTACTGACGCCTCTAGTGGCGCAATATCTAAGTATGAGTTAAAAAAATGTGCTAAACAGCACTTGAAAAGTAATCATGTAATTTAATTTACTCTAGATAAGAAAAACATGTTGCTATTAAATCGCATTTACTTCTTTGAACTGAAACTATTATGATTCAAAATATATTTTGATTCAAAATTGTTTATAAAAATAATTGTATAAGAATTAATTGCCTGTAGTTTTGATCATAATGTTTAATTCATTTCGAAACATTACTTAAATGGCTCAATCGAATCTTAATTAATTTCACGGAAAAAAAGTTTGTTTACGCTTATTTCATTCGATACCAAAATTTAACAATTTAAAATGAACATCCCAATATGTGTGAAGAATCGACTTATTAATCCATGATAAGAGTGGTTAAAAGTATTCAAAGTGAATTTATTACACAATATGGAAAATCGAACACGTTAACCTCCTAGGAATATTTTCTGAAAGCAAATTTTCAAAATTCAATATTTTTTTATAATTGAGCCCATAGATAAATAAGCATAAATTGGGCCAATTTCCTTAAGACCAAGTACTCTATCGCTATACCAAATAACTTGTTAAAAAATTCATAAACTTTGTCAAAAAAAAAAAATTTTAACACTTCATTACAAGAAAACGGCCCAGCCGATCTTTACTAAAAACTAATCAGGTCGATCTCCAACCAATATTTTTCGAACAGTTTTTGAATTTTCAAAATCGATTCAGAATTGCTAAATCGGCTTTTAGCCATTTGGACGAAAAAAATTTCGCTTTTCTGCGATTTACAAAGAAACGGCTCGGTCGATCTTTGCACATAATTGAGAAACGCTCATCAAGATACATCAAATGGCTTTTAAAGTTTTAAAATCGATCCAGCCGTTTTTGAGAAAACGTTGATTTACGGCAAAAAATCTGTTCACATATACACAAACACATACATACACACACACACACACACTTTTTCCAAATTTGGTCTCATTCGATTCAGAATGGCTTGAAACGTCGAGAAAACATAAAATTAGCGAATTGGATTCTTTGATGAAAACATAAGCTTCTCCTTGGGGAAGTTAAAAAGTATTTATGTGTGTATATAGGGTCAAATTGGATGTGAGTCAAAATTTAAGTTCTCGTGTATGTTTATACTTGTTTATAAATGATGTTTTCTTATTATTATAAACGGCTACACTGATTTCAAAAATTTGAGAACCATTTGATAACACTCGATTAGTTGCTTTAATGCTAAATGTTGGCTAAATGCATTAAAATTAACTATGTTTATTTATCAATGGCTAAATGCCACTTACAAACTAGTCTATTTTATAATAACTGGTAATATAAAAGATGTATGATAAAGAATATATTCTAAATTTCACATAATTATAAAGTTAAAGAAATATAAAAATCTAAATTTGAAAACATTCTCACAATCGGTCTAGGCTGTATAGCCTAGTATACCTAATGTTGATTGGTTACACATCTATTTAGCAAATTCCAGATGGCTATGGATTATAAATTGAATACTAAAATTATAATAAGGTTAATGATTCACAAGTTTTAATTCTACTTTTTAAATAACTTAATTTATTTCAAATAACAATGTCAGGCGCTTCTGGAAAAGGAACATTTCAACCAGTAAATATTTCAATAACTATTAGTTTTAGTGCTTTGTATTAATATAGTATTATTAATATCTTGTCAGGATTCAGATGTTCATATTTCTTATGAAGATCAACAGAAAATTAATAAATTTGCCAGACATAATGCAAGATTAGAAGATTTCAAAGATGAATTGAATATTAAAATCAACGAGTTAAAAAATTTAGATGAAGCCTGTGAAGAACTAATTTTAATGTCTGATGATGCAAATGTACCATTTTTGGTTGGAGAAGTATTTATCTGCAGGAATTTAGAAGAAACACAAGTATATACCTTTCTAATACATTATAAATTACATTTACTCATTTTGTCTGCACATCTGATATAAATCATCAACTAAGTTTTAATTTCTTGATCTCTCATAGAAAGATATATAGAAGACGTTATAAATTATTTTCAATACATTTTTTAAAACTAATGAAAATTTTAAACAAACTGAAATATGAAACATTTTCTGTTTTATTTGTGTTTATTAATTATTCGGGAGATATTACTGATCACCATGGAAATCATACTTCATTTTTGTAACAATATGTGTCTTCCCCATTTATGGGTTCATAAATAACAAATTTTCTTATTAATTTAGAAACAATTAGAAGAAGCCAAGGCTAAAAAAGAAAAAGAAATAGCAGATCTAACTAAAAAATGTGATCATTTCAAAAGCGAAATGAACGAACTAAAAGGTCATCTGTATAGCAGATTCGGTAGCCACATAAATCTGGAGAATGAAGAATAATTATATCAACAAATATTACAAAAACTTGTATGCAGTTTTTCTGTTTATAATAATTTAATCCAAAAATAAAAAGGTATATCACAACATTAATTATATTTTTAAACTATTGAGTAAAATTTAAGTAGTATTTTCATTTTTAAACATGAACAAAATATCTTCTGCTGATTCAAACAATCCCAAATCCTACAAAAAAAAATAAGATTATCAACATGTTTACACAACTTATGTTCTTATAAATAATTACACTCACTTTGAGTATATCTTGTGCTATCGGAAATCCATGGTGCTCCCATTGGAATAGTTCATTCATTTTTAAGCATTTTTTAATATTGTCAGTAGAACTTGTCAGACTTAGTTGACATGATCTATTTTGAGTTGAAGTGCTAGCATCAGTCTTTTCAGTAAGTGATATTGGAATCTAGAAAGAATGTTATTATTACGATGTAACAAAATAGAAATTTATCTAGACGTTCATAAATAAAACTTTGTAATAAATATCAAATGGTTAATTTGATACATTTTACATTGATTATAGATAAAGTATTTTCCAAAGTTTACTTAAATTATTTCTATTATTTCACAAAATTAAACTGAAATAGATCTTCTATCATATTTTGAAAAATCTGTTACTTGAACCATTGAATATTGAATACAAAAATTTATAGTTGTAATAAAATTAAATGTTATTCTTACTGATCCATCACATTTGCAATCACATTGCAGTATATCATGGGTTGTGCATTTCTGATCATTTAAAGAAAAGATCAGCTTTAAGTCTTCTTGTGATAATTTTAGAGAATTATTTTGTGTGTCAACAACTGCTCCTGATAAAATTGTTTTAGATATTTGTCTTTGGAGCATTTTTTCCTCTATCGTACCTTAAAATATTAAGATTAATAATAAATTTATTATTTTTAATTTGAAAAAGCATTATGTTTATTAGTTTTTGAAAAATTACCTGTAGTGATAAGCCTGTAAATATAAACAGATTTCTTCTGACCATCACGCCAAATTCTGGACATGGCTTGTAAATCGGTTGCAGGATTCCAATCAGTATCAAATAATACTAATCTTCAAAAACATAAAAAAAATATGAAACTAATTAAAAAATTATGAACCTTCAATAAAAAAATTATGAGAAAGATTAATAAATGTTCTCAATTGATAATAATTTATAATATGATTAAGCATGTTAATTGTTCATTGATTTAAATGTTCAAATATGATGATGAAAGATGAGAAAATATTACCTTGAAGCTCCTGTTATATTTAGTCCAATCCCACCAGCTTTTGCACTTAATAGAAAGACGAAGGTTTTGCAATGAGGACTATTAAATTCATCTATTATATTTTGACGATCTGCAGTAGGTGTGGAGCCATCTAATCTATTAATATTTTAAAGTCTATTATTTGTGGAAGATCATTACATAAATTATTTTTAATGCTATGCTGTAATATCTGAATTAAAACAATACTATGAAATTAAAAATCATTTATATCATAGTTCTATTTAATTAGCACTGAATGCTTGTATAATCAATTCTGATACTTTATTTTAGCACCAAAAGCTAAATATGTAGAAATCTTTACATTGCAACATATTGTCAAGTTATTTTATGAATCAGCAATACCTTAAAATATTTATGCTTTTTCTATTATACCTTGCATAAATAAATTCATTAGTTTTACATAAGTCGGCCAACATATCCAATGTTTGTGTGAAATAGGATACCAGTACAATTTTCTCTTTGTTATTATAGACTTCCTTCAATAAGTTAAGTACTATTTTAACTTTTACAGAATCATTTATATCCATATCCTTGTTATTTATTATGTCACACAAATGACTCTTTAAATCTCCAGCATTCTCCATATCTTTAATTGAATCATATTTGATAAGCCATGGATGATTGCATATTTTTTTTAAAAAGTTTATTAATTGCAAATGCATAACATCATTATTTATAGAAAGTTTTCGAGATTCATAATAATCCAATGCAGTTTGATATATTTGTTTCTGTATATCAGTAATTTTACAGAATATGATTAATTCTTTCTTTTTGGGTAAATATTTATTTATTATCTCTTGCGTTCTCCTTAGTATAAAGTGAGCAGTTTTTTGTTGCAATTCTTTAACTTTAAGTTCACCGCATACTTTATCAATTTCACTACAGTTTAATTGTTGGGATGCGACAATTGGTTGCAAGTAGTATGATTTGAATTCAGCTAATGTGCCTATTGATGAAAGATTCATTTTAGTAAACAATATTGCCTGTTTATAATTGCTTTCACTTATTTACTAAAGTCACAAATAATATAAAAAATATTCGCTGGAGCCATATAACGATAAGTTATACAAATATAATTTTTTTTTTTCAAATTCATGATGCTCAAAGCAAAACACTCAATGAATCAATGACTGTATTGAAGGTGTATTACACAAATTTATTATTTCATTTATTACTATTCATTGTAGTACATACCTAAGATTCCTGGATTTACAAAATTTACTATTGAGTAAAATTCCTGCAAATCATTCTGTATAGGCGTCCCTGTTACTATTACACGACGCTTACAATCAAATTGCATGAGCAGAGAACTAATTTTTACTGACATATTCTTCAATCGGTGACCCTCATCACATATAATTAAATCAAAACATATGGTTTTGATATCTTCAAAACATCTGAAAATTTTGATATCTTCAAAACATATTATAGAAAACAAATATTCATTGAAGAAAGCAATTACCTTGATACCATTTCATATGAAATAATCAAAACTGGTATCTTTTGCAATTTTTTATAATCTTTTGGTCTATTTTTAGAATTCACTACAAAAACGACGATTCTTTCTGCCCCAAGCCACCTCATGAATTCATTTTCCCAGTTAGCGCAAAGGCTGGAGGGTGCTACAATTAATACTTTCTGTATACAAGGTGACCCGTATGGACCTTGTTTTAACAGTGTCCTAGAAATATGAATTTTAAAATTGAAAGTTTTATACCATGAAGAAATTCAATATTATTTATGTTTTTGCTAATTTCTCTTTTCATTCGTTTATAAAAACCTATAGGTAGTATAATTTTTACTTTGTAGTAGATATAATGAATTATATGCAGTTGAAATATAATATAATATAATCAACAATGATCAACAGGAACAAATTTTTTAGAGTTAAAATAAATCAGAGTTGATAGAGGTATTACTGTTCAAAGGTATAATACTAACCAAATAATAGTTATACATTGCAAAGTCTTTCCTAGTCCCATTTCATCTGCTAGTACTGCACCAATATGCTCGCCAAAAAATCCCATTAAACAACGATATAAAAATATTACACCATCTTTTTGATGTGGTCTAAGCACCCTTGCCAAACAAGGGTCCACAGAAACCTGGCAAAGCGGCCGTTTTTCTTTATTATTAAGCCACTGGAACACAAATATTGAAATAATTATTCAAACATTTTTGTTAATCATTATTTTTGCTTTAAAATCTGGTAAGTATTAAATTCAGCTAATTTACCTGATGTTCTGCATCTGGTTCTGGAAAAGCTATAGGCTCATAACTCACACAATTTTTTTTTAGTCTTGTATATGATTTTGAAACTGAAATAGATTTTCCAGTAAGTTTTTTAATTTTTTTTGCTACTGGTTCATCTTCATCTATAGAAGCATTTATTTCATGTTGAATCGTCCTAATATCATCTATCTGTTCTATTATTTCTATCGCTTTTGATCCAATACTGAATATTATCAAATAATTTGGTATTAGATACACAGTAGATGTATATAGTATTATAAAAAACAGTAAGTATTGAAGTATAATAAATTAAATCTTTATCATAGCTATTACTATTATTAATAATTATGCAATAAAATAATATAGGTGATAGTTATTTCAAATATTTAATAGTAACAAAGCAGTTTTCATTAAATCCAATTATGAAAAAAATGAATTATTTTTAAGTTTATATCTAAAAAACTGAAGTAGTTGAGTTAGGAATAAAACTATACCAAGCAGGTAGATTCTTTTTTAAATCCGTATTGAAAATGATGAAATCAAATCGTTATATTACAGAAAACCTTATGTATACTTACTTCATTGTACCTCCTTCGAAAATACACAAAGGATCAATTTTATTTGATTTCTCTAATATAGTTCCACCTTCATTTTTCAATATTACTGATGCACCATGGGTTTCCAAGTAACCATCATTAGAATATGTTTTATTTTTTTTATTTGTTATTTTACCCCAAACTACCTTAAATGTTTTCTTGGATTGTTCATTACTAAATTGTGTTTCTTTTCTTGGAGAATTAGTACATTCATCCATTTTTTTAGTTTTCATAATCTTCAGAGATTTAATTTCATCTATAACATTAATATAAAAATAGAAAAAATATTTAATAAATTAACAAATATGTTATCATTTAAAATAAGTAATTTATGATTAATGTTGTTGAATTTAAATTTTATTTTTTGCATGAAATACATTACCATTTTCTTTGGTCAAAATATGTCTTGTAGTTGATGATATTGGTTCATTTGAAATACTATCTAAAACTTGTATATCCTTGCTTCCTATGCTAAAAATTTAAATAAATTAATTTAACATTGTATATATAAGAATTTATATTATTCATCAACTAAATATATATTGAAATATAGACATTATATTAAATAATAAAGTGATGATTAATTTAAATGAATACCTGATTATTTTACCATATTCTATAGTACTACATTTAATGTTTTTAGATCTATCCACAACAGTTCCTGCAGTATCATATAAAATAGCAGCACCTTCGACAAATTTTAATATGCCATCCTCTTCAAATGTTTTATTTTTCTTACTTGTCCTGTTACCCCAAATAACATTGTATTTGATATCATTGGCAATGCGATTTGAGTTATCTGTTTCAATTGCATTTTGATGCAAGACATTGAAACTATTATCAATATTACAGTTTTCTTTTTGGCTAAGTTTTGTACAGGTTTGACTACAAGCTTTCAATATTTCTGATGTTGTTCTTCCTTTATGTTCTGAAATTTATTTTTAAAAATCATGCATAAATTCTAATTAATAACGTTATCAAATAATAAAGATTACTTGTTGGTTGGGCAATTCCTGATAACTTTTTGTAAGTTTCGGTATGTGGTAATTTCTCTTCTGTGTTTAATGATACGCTTTTCAAAATTGGTTTACTTATAACTTCGACAATCTGAACTATTTTAGAACCAACACTTAAATAATTAGAATAAATTAAGTCTTCAAAATATAAGGAAATTATCACAAATAATATCAAATTATAATAATATACTTTTCTCACCTAAATGTAGATTCTGGTTCCAATAAACCGTCATCGATACTTCTTGTTTGTGCTATAACAGAACCTGATGAATTTTTGAGTACAATAGAATTCTTAGTTACTAATAAAACACCATCATCTTCATAACTTTTATGCTTCTTTGAGGAATTTTTGCCCCAAACTACTTTAAACTTTTTTTCCTCATCAAATGAACTCGGATCTTTTACTGAGTCACTAGTAGACGGCTCTTTTTCTTGTGATTTACAGTCTTCCGAAGAAGATATCAGTTTTAGAATTTTTGCTGTGGATCTCATATTAATTAGTGAAATAATAAAGTTATTATATCAGCAACAATTAATAATAAAACACGCTTTGGCACGTTTGGAACTTCAAAGATAAAATAATTATTTAATTTAAATTATAGGCTCCGTCTAAATTGTTATTAAATACGTTTTTCGGACATTTATTTAACTGTCAAATTTACAAATTATGTACTCCAAAAGTCAGAATTCTCCTTAGTGCGAAGAAATTTAAAAATTGGTTGTGTACCAACGTTCAAACGGCTACCATAGATATAAAAAGAGTATACCTCATAGATAAATAAGCATAAATAGATCGCTATCTCGGGCCATTTGACGTTACACTCATTTTAATGTACGAATAGATCACTACATGGCAGCACATGTACATACAGTATGTAAATTAACCCCTGGTATTACTTTTACATTTGTAGATAAAATCAATACAGCCCAAAAATCTGAAAAAAATTATTATTTGAAATAATAACAAAACATACGAAATACAAAATATATTTTCAAATATATCACAGACATATTTTTGAAGAATTATAAACTAAACAGAAATAACTGACTACTATTAATTAAAGTATATTACAGACATATTTTTAAAGTACTTATTCTATTAATATTCTAGAAATAACTTATTCATATTAATTACTTAATGACTAATAATAATATATTAAAAACTTAAAAACTAAGAAGTAAAAAGTGCAGGAGTATTGATGATGTAATGACAAATTTAGAAGGAATGACAAGTAATGCAATAATTTAAAAGGATAAAAAGAACAGCACATTTTAAAAAAAGAATGAATACTTTCCAAACAAAATAATCCTAAAAACAAAACATATATATATATTGATATCCAAATTGAGATAAAACTAAATTCCTAGGATTAAAATTCATTTACGAGACATTCTTGTTTATTATCTCTCCATTTAATAGTTATTTTGCTATCTAATCAATCATTAATAAAGTTATATTTGATGAAATCTTTGAATAGTTTCTGTATAAGGGTTTTTTTAAACGTAAGTAACCAAAACCCTGAACTACTTTTAATTTATACCAATTGTAGCTCAAATCTATCTATCGTTTTAATCCAGTTTTTATTGCAAGGAGGTTTAGTTAAAACTATAACTAAACCTTTGCGCTTTATAAACTGTCTGGTCTTTGAGTATGCTCTCTTAATTGAGACATTATCAAAATTCTTGCCCTTACATTTTAAGTTTCCGGAATATTTGAAAACTTCTCAGAACATTGTATACTCTGTTGGAATTTATCCTTTAAATTATTGCATTGCATTTTAATCCCGAAACAAAATTTGATGTATCATACATCTTCTGGGTGTTAAGGCTACGCCTTATCATTGCATTCTGCGGCAATTTGCAGCTACCATCAAGGACTTCTATTGAATATATTGTTATATCATATTAATTGGAGATATTGTAATCATCATATTAAATATTTTTGCTGCAATTAGTATGAAAAAATACCTTTTCGAAAAACTGGTGTCAGAATAGGTGACTTTTAACCTGCACTTTACAATCTTAGAGGCGCTGCAAAAATCTTTTTCAAGGTGTTTAGGCTTCCATCTCCTAAGAACATAAGATTCATTTATTAATATTTTTTTGCAAATGTTATTGAAGTATTTAGAGTTATAATTACATGTCCTTGTCCTTAGAGTTGCAGATTGTTCTTCTGGTTCTGTATCAGAGCATTCTCCAGTGACTTGAAAACTATTTTGTTATTGCCGTAAAGGAGACACTTCTATTTGGTTTCGATTTCAAATTATCGTTGATTTGTGCCGTAAACCGAAGAGTTAGGTCATCCATTAAAAGATTATTGGCCCTCTGCATCCAAATTGAAAGCATCTTTTTACACACAAATATATATAATATATATTTACACAAATATATATATATATATATATATATATATATATAACATTTTAATAGTATTGTGATGATCCATATTCATTATATGCATAATACATCATTATATACATACCTGATAATTAGATGCCGGAAAGACATGCATTTTTTTATTATATTTGGGGTTATAACAATTTGGCACATAACACTTTATCATTTTAACTTAATAATATATGAAAAAAGTATTCACCAAAACATAATTATATATAAACAATCACAGAAAATCTCAACTACAATACGCGATGACAACTTGACAACTTATAGAAGATGGCCGATCAAATCAATGTAGATCAACAAGCCAGCTGCTAGTTCAATGAAAATGGAAATCGTAGCGCCATCCTTCGAACTATTCAAATGCCAATCCATTTCAAAACACGGTAATATTCATTTGTTCGGAGATTACCGGCCATGGTATACCTTTTTTGAAACAATTAAATTTGAATCTGAGTTGATAGATAAAAATAATTTGATATAACAAGACAACAAATTTTAACTTGATTTTTAGTATTTGATTTATAATTTGTAATTTTAATTAGTTATGTAAATAATAATTTACGTTGAGCCCAAATCGATAAAAGGTTTCGATAAACTATCAGATATCGATATTTAATAACCATTTCAAGTTTATCATCTCAAGTCAATTCCTTTTTCTCTCTATGGTAACCTTTCTGCTGATGCTCACGTTCACAAAAGTTTTGTCATAGAAAAAGCATCGTAAAACTTCAATTTTTATGGTTCCATTTTACGTGTGAGAAACTTAAATATGACAATGTCAAAGTTTGATTTAACTTCCCGTAATGGTCAATATTTAGATAGACATTTAGTATTTCCATTATTAGAATTTTTGTCGGCTAAAGAGGTAATTACCATGTGTCAGTTTTGATTTTTTTATTAACATGCATATATAATATAATATAATTTTGTCTTTTAGATTTACGATGAGACTGAACTTCTTCAGGCAAAACTCGACATACTGAGTAAAACTAATATGATAGATTATGCTATTGATATTAGAAAGCAATTGTATCCTAATGAGGAAGTTCCAGAGGTGAGTTGATAAACATAACACAAGTCGAGCAAGTATTATATAAATAATTCATATAGGAACTTAAGAGTCGAAGAATTCATGTCGTTGCTCGATTGCAAGAACTACAAACTGAAGTGGATCCTATTTTGAAAATTATGGGAATGGAAGATGTAATGAAAACTGTTGAAACCATGAGGGATCCCAAAACTCTCATAAATTATCTTACTAAAGAATTTGATGTGAGTATTCAATAGCTAAATTTAAGTATTTAGTTTTAAGTGCTTTGAATTCTTAATAAATCGTGTTATATTTGAATATTTAAAATTATAATCTGATCAATATTATCTTGTGCCACTTTTTCATTTCTATTACGTATCATAGTTTTAACATGTTTTAAAACTAATTAGTATTTTAATAAGCTAAGTTTAAAATGTCGAAATCAGTAACATAATCAATTTAATTCTAATGAACTAATAGAAATGATTTTTTACTTATCATTTGATTATATTTTTTTTTTTTTGCTAAATTTATGATTTTTAATTTCAAATTTTTACATTTAGTTCAAGATAGAGATGATCGACAGTATGTATCAGCTAGCCAAACATCGTTATGAGTGTGGAAATTATTCTGTTTCAACCAGTTACTTATACTTCTGCATGCTGGTTATGCCTCCAACTGATAAGGTTTGTAACGCTTTTGGGTAAATGGTAATGTGAATATGTAGTAATTAATTGTATCTTTATTTAATTCTATTAATAATAATTCTGATTTGCAATTTAGTTGCAAAGGATTTTACAATGATTTTCATGAAGTTTATTTTTTTCTTTTTAGAATTATATTAATGTGCTTTGGGGGAAATTAGCATCTGAAGTGTTGGTTCAAAATTGGGATGCTGCATTAGAAGACTTGAATAAATTGCGAGACTATATTGATAATAATTCCTTTGGAAGTAATATTCAGGTAGGATAGCTCTAGTAATTTAATTTAATTTTATTAATGTGAGCTATTTATTTATTTCGTTATGAAATATGTCTTAAATATCTACATTACTATGAACATTTTTTTAGGTTCTGCAACAAAGAACTTGGCTCATTCATTGGAGTTTGTTTGTATTTTTTAATCATGCTAAAGGCCGTGACCTGATTGTGGAAATGTTTCTTTACAAACCACCGTAAGTATTTAGTTCTTATTTTTAATTATTTAAAAATAGATATTAAAATCTTTTTTCGTCTTGACTTTAATAAAAATAATCAAATTAAAATGTTCAATATTGTATTGTATATTATTATATTATTAAAAAAAATTAATGCTATTGATATTATATTTTTCTAATTAAGTCTCTAATATTTGCTCATTTATTACAGTTATCTAAATGCTATCCAAACTATGTGTCCACATGTACTACGATATTTGGCAACAGCAGTCATAATCAATCGCACTCGTAGAAATGCACTGAAGGATTTAGTGAAGGTTATTCAACAGGAATCATATACATATAGGTGAGTATTAATTAAAAATCATTGTATTATTGAAAAACTATACCATTCTGATTATCTTTAATCTGCAGACACAGTTTTTATGATCTACCAATAAATATCTTTATTGATAAAAATATTTCTAAATATATTTTGAGATGATTTTTTTTAAAACAAAAATATTTTATTTTTTGTTCAAACTACTGTGTGATAAAACTTTTTGATATAGGATGTAATCTCATTCCATATTTTTTAATCAAATAATCAAATAATTTTTAAAACAAAATTATGATTATTATCTTCCAAAATTATGTAATGCTTTCAAAATTATGTAATTATACTTCAGGATTTTAATAGACCTATTTGAATTATTATATAAAAATAAGTTCTCTTTTATTAATAATTGTGCACTTAACATTGCAGAGATCCTATAACTGAATTCATAGAGCATCTTTATGTAAACTTTGACTTTGAGGGAGCCCGTCAAAAACTTCACGAGTGCCAAACAGTTTTGTACAATGATTTCTTCTTGATCGCTTGTTTATCTGAATTTGTAGAAAATGCACGATTAATGATCTTTGAGACCTTCTGTAGAATACATAATTGCATCAGCATTGGGCAAGTATATAAAATATATATTATATATATATATATATATATATATATATATATATATATATATTTTGTATGATTCTGAATTTGATGTTGACATATGTATTAACAAAGTCTAATAATCAGGCATAACATCATAAAAAAACATGAATTTCTTTCAAAAATTTATTTTAAATCCATACGTTTCGGCTATAATCCTAGCCTTCATTCAGTGGAAAAATTAGTTGATCTTAGTGTTAAATTGGAAAATTTTAATAATCCATGGTATTAGGATATGGTAATGCACTACACTATGTATTATAAACATTAACTTGAAATTACACAATATTTTCACAAAATACTGATTTGAAAAAATCACAAATGGATAGTGTGTTATTCGTAGACTGGTTGAAGATGTTACATCTTCAGGATTATAGCCGAAACGTATGGATTTAAAATAAATTTTTGAAAGAAATTCATGTTTTTTATTGATGTTATGCCCGATTATTAGACTTTGTTAATATATATATATATATATATATATATATATATATATATATATATTGTTTTACATTTTTACAATATTAAAAAATTACAGTATGTTAGCTGAAAAACTGAACATGAATCCAGAAGAAGCAGAATGCTGGATAGTGAATTTGATAAGAAATGCTCGTTTAGATGCTAAAATTGACTCTAAATTGGGGCATGTTGTTATGGGTGGTCAACCACTTAGTCCATATCAACAATTAATTGAAAAAATAGATTCGTTGGCAGTCAGGTCAGAAGCTTTGGCAGGTTTGGTTGACAGGAAACATAAAGCTAAAAATCAAGATGTAAGATCCATTTATGTAGATATAATATTATCATATGTGCAATATTTGCTAATTTTTTTTTTTCAATTTTAGATACGTTGGGGAACGCAGGAATTTTGAGCAGTATTTTTCTCATAATTAACTATAACGTGTTTTAGCAACTTTTTCTGCAGAACCTAAATAAAATGTTTATAATATTTTGTGTTTTTAGTACTTGCTAGTTTCTAATGAGATTACTGTAATAGTTGTGAGTTTGTTTATCTGAGAAAACAGATGGTCTTCACAGTAAAAAGAGAATCTTGATTAAAATTAGTACTAAAAGCTTTGAATCACATGGATTCATAGCAAAATGAAATAAAAAGTGATTTATTAAATGCTTATAAATTATATTAAGTATGTAGTGTAATTATAACCACATTACACATTTAAAGTAATCACTCATTTTGGTTCAACAGAAAAATTTTGATATATTAGCAGTTAATCGTCAACATTATTCAACTTTTGTAGTGAATCTGGCAAAAGTAACTTTTCTCGTCTATCAAAATAGGGACAAGTCAGGACAGTAATACATGTTTTATGAGGTTGTCCATGCAGGACATGCAAACTGGGCAAACTTTTTCACACTTTAATTCTGTGCATGCCTCTCATCATATTATTTTATTGTCTAGGCCTCTCATTCTGTATTACTTTAATTTCATATTTTGAAACTCTATCACTATTATATTTTCTAAAACGGCGGCCTAGAACAAAGCAACTAAGCAAAGATTTCAAAAATTAATTTCAAGTGGGGCATTTCGAACTTGTCATTCGATTTTGATAAATAATTCATTCGTAGCATACCATAAAACATTCATTTCATCATTTAAAGCTTCAAAATTTAATGATTTATCAAAACTATACAGTTTGAATATATTATTTCAATTATTTTATATACTTTTCAACATAATCTCATATACAAGTTTCCAGCAGAAAATATGAAAAACATTTTTCTTCCCCATTAAATTATCATTAAAAAAATTTAAATAATCTGAATAAAATAATTGAAGTATAAAAAAATATATAAATATATAAAAATAATATATATAAAATGATATATTTCAACTTAACCTCAAAAACATTTTTGTAACAGATTTTTTTGTCTGTTGGTACCGCTGTATGATAATCAGTTCTGACTTCTGATACTTTAATGAAGGTTAAGGATGTGTATGTCAAAAATATGTAAAATGCAAAATAAATTAGATTTAATTGAATATATATAGTAATATATATTAATTTATACCGAAAAAGTAAGTTTTATATTTTTTGCCACGCCCATTGTGATAAGCCGCGCTGTTCAAAATCTTCTGGTAGAAAATAATCTACTATATGGACGTATATTATCAATTACTTCAAATGTCAGTTTGAGTTAAGTTGTGCAAAGTCGTGGTCTGATGAAATAATAATAATGGAGAAATTAAAGTGATCTCTCATATTACTCGAATAATAATTAAAGTTTGGTACAATGGAGCCTGAATTGTGGAGACGTTGTGCAGCTTGGTTAACTAGATGTGGAATTCTTAGAGAAGACCACAAAGCAAATTGGCCTCAAAGTTCAATAGGAGACTTAGCCTACACTTTAAGGGATGGTGTTTTATTGTGCAATTTGTTAGTAGCCTTAGATCCAATATGTATGGATATAAAAGAAGTGAACCAAAGACCTCAGATGGCACAGGTACTACTATCAAAACAACAATAAGTTGCAAATAAAGAAATCTATTTTTTTAAAAAATTACTTAAACCAAGAAATGTATTAACAAAATATTTTTTCAGTTTCTCTGCTTAAGAAATATAAAAATCTTTCTTCAAACATGTCGAAATGTTTTCCGACTGCGAGATACAGAATTGTTTGAGCCCTCAGAATTGTTTGATCTAACTGGATTTCATAAAGTGCTAATTACACTCTCAAAATTATCACAATCCAAAAAAATACAACATAAAAATATATTGTAAGTAAAATTCAATATTTTTAAATACATTCCTAATACATTTTTTATAATTATACTTATATGTTTTACATTCATAATACATATTTGTAAATTATATAAGCTGAAATCTTCTTATTCGAATAATCTTTTATAGAGGATTCTCTGCAGATTCAGAAGTATTTGATTCCCAAGAGGATATTTATAAGGACTTACAATCAAAGTAAGTAAAATATAAATAATTCTTGTATAATTTTATACTTATTATACATATGTACAAGCTTTAACAACTGTAATTTATCAAACTTACAAGATAAATTACATACACATATGCCCATATACTTCTTGATATAAATCAATTTAGCGATTAATATCACAGATATTTTAAAGAGTTAGAAAATTGTTATATGTTTTGGGTAATGATGTGAAATATTTTGATATTTTAGTCAGGGATTCTTAAAAAAAACCAAAAATCTTGAGAGAATATTTTGGTTCAAATGTTTTCAAAAATTTTTTTATTCTCATTTTGGGAACATAATATATTTGAGACAAAAGGATGCTTTGAGATTTCAAAAAATATGATTTAAAATTGTTTGAATTCTATTACAAATTTTAAAATTTGTTAAATGGACTTTATTTTCTGTGAAATTGACTTCTTCTCATAACATTTGCAACATAAATTTTAGTAATCAAATAATGGCTGCTACAAACGGTAATGACAGTTGGGTTTCTTTCACTATAAAATGCCCACCATTAGATGATTGTGTTGAAGAAATATATGAAGATCTATGTTATGTCACATTTTCATCGAGTTTGCCGGAGGTACAAATTCTAGTTTCGTCTTGCTTATGAATTGGCCAATTTATGTTTTTATTTAGAAATGTTTTTATATACACTTTTATACAAATTTTGTGTGTAGCAAACTTTTTAATCAATTGGGCATAATATTTATTGCGCTTTTGAATGCAAATGTAGGAACATTTGTCATATGAATAGTATTTCTATATGCGAATCTGTTAATGTTGCACCAATTATTTTATTTATATTATGGTTTATATGATATATTATGTATAATTAATTCTGCACAATTATTTTTTCTAATTAGATTTTATAAATAATGAACATGTTTTTGTACTTGTTTTATAACTATTGAGACAAGTATAGTTTTATGTGAGAGTAGCAAATAGTTATGTAATCTCTAGTTGCATTTTCAAATATTTATTATTTATTTGAGTATGTATTAATTATAAAATTTAGAAACAGCTGGAATGTAAGATTTGATCCTTTATACATGATTGTGGCATTTATATATTTTTATATGCTATCTTTGGAAATAGCAGCACCAGACTATAGTTTGTCTAATCATCAGCGTTTTCATAAATAACTAATTTTGATTACTTATGGTAATGTTATCTTCAAACATTGTTTTTTGTGAATAATATAACTTTACAATGAAACTTAAGTAACTAATATTTATGAAGTGAATATACCATAAGAAATAATTTAATTAACTCATTTTTTATTTTTCATGAATATTTTCTATATTAAGAGGTTTTATTGATAGAAGGCATAGAAAATGTTAGAATAACTGTCATAATGTCTTAAACTTTAGAACTACAATAATAATTGTTTAATTGTAATTAGCATTAATTGTTTAATACTGATACTATTTCTACACTAGAATTTGTTTAATTAAAAGTGAAATGTATTATCGAGTTATAATCAAAACATTCCATCTGTTTTAAAAACGTTTTTAAAAATTGGCAAAACTTTTTTAGCTTTTGTTAGAATGCAGTGCAGAATTATTTCCTAAAATGCATCTTTCTTATGAAAATGGCATCAGTATTTTCATGTACGCTTGTTCGTGTTTTTTTTTTTCATTTACCTAAACGTGTTTGTGGGCATGACGTGAATGTGTTCAGTGGCGCATCAGATGGTGCTCGAGCTAGTGGGGCGCACAGACTATCTGGTGGAGCATTTGGCCATGATTACTCCATGGTACGGGAAGAGGAGACTTATCAAGATCTGTGCGCTGTTCGTAAGGCCACCAGAAACTCCCAGGTAGAATATGTTTATATGCTATGGTAGTTGTGAAGCTCTGAATAGTCGAAATATATGTTCTTACTTGAGATCTAAACTGTAACACTGGCACTTTTTATTACTATTTTGATTTCTAGTTTTGTAATACAGTTATTATTTATTACTATTTGTCATACAAGACAGTTATTAATAAACCTTTTTAAAAGAAAACACGTTGAAATAAACACAAATAAGAACTTTTCATTATGGCATTGTTTTGTTTTATTTGGTACAACTATTATAAAGGGATACCCCTTAAAAGAATAATGGGTTTTTGTATAAGTTACTGTTAAACTTCAATAGAAATGATTCTGCATAATTAAATTTATCCAAGGCTATAGCATTTAAAATTTTTAATTAAAAATACACGTTGCACTACATTTTATCAAATTCATAGATACAATTTTAAATTGGTATCAGCTAATAAAATTATATTATTTGTTCAGAATATTGTTTTTTACAAAATATATTGAATTTTATAAATTTTAGTGTTCAACTAAAATATATATTAGTTTATATATTAATTTATATCAAAAGATAGATTATTTCATATATTTCAGTTTTCTACATTGTATCGAAATTCGGTTTGCATTACATTTTGGATTAATATATATAATTTTGATTGTTTTGCATGAGATCTCTTGTAAACTCGATTCTTTCGATAATTTTGGCTTTTTTATCTATTCATTTAAATAACTTTTGAAATACATATTATAATATAGAGGATGCCAGGTATGTTACATTATTTTTGCATCTAGATCTAAATGTTATGAGAGAATGAATTACTATATTTTGATATATATATATATATATATATATATATATATATTTAAAGTATTTTGCAGCCCAATCAGGGAATTAAAAAAAGATTAAAATAGAGAAATTATTCTATTAAACGTTTTGACACTTAATGCGTGTCATCATTCAGTTATCAAACCAGGCCAAACACAAAAAAAATATAAATTTATTAAACACTAAACTTGTACGAAAGAACATCATAATAATAAAAAGAGAAATTAAAGGAGCACATATTGCCCTCCTATATTGGGTGTTGTTTGGTCGCTGTGCATTGTAACACAACCAAATTTAATTCAACGATTGGGCTGCAAAATCCTTCAAATATGTATCATTGTAGACAAAACTATCATATAGGAGTACTTCGAGGATAAACTATTTTTATATTACTAAATTTTAATATTACATTTTTAGCTTGCTGCCAATATCCAAACTATGGAAAAGCGAGATCATGTCATCAGAGAGCTAGTTGACACTGAAACAAAGTATGTAGAAATGTTAGAAAATTTATTGAATAAATTTATGGTGCCCTTATCAAACCTCATGCGTCCAGCCGATCTTCGGATTATTTTTAACAAAATTCAAGTAAGTTTTTATTAAACCTACTTCAATTATTTTAGTTTAAAATATATTCAATATGCCTTGCCTAACATTAAATTAAAGTTTTATTTTTGCATAATCAGGTATTCCCACCAGCTATGGTCTTGTTCCTAATTAAAATTACGCGGTTTAAAGATTATTTTAAAATGTCTATATATTTTTTCAGGAATTGTATGACATTCACTTAGAATTTTGCCAACAATTGCAAAGGGCGACATTGCCTAAGCCCGAAATTAAGTTGAGCGAAGTTTTTCTAAGCTGGCGAGAAAAATTTCTAATTTATGGTGATTATTGTTCAAATTTAACATTGGCTCAAGATACATTACGTGATATAATGAACAAGGAGGAATCAGTTAATCAGCAAGTAATTGTAAGTATCGGACTATTTTATTATTAATGATGAATTTTAGATTCATTTACTAACATGGTTTTCTTTAATAGATATTACATATAAATATGTTTAAATGATAAAATTTTGATAAATGATAAAGTTTAATTGAATTCAAATGTGAAATAGACATTGGTATACTATTTATGGTTTTTTATTATTCTCAATATAGAAATGTCAAAAGGAACATAGTGATGGTCGAATTCAATTACGAGATATATTACCAGTGCCAATGCAGAGGCTATTGAAATACCATTTGCTGCTGGACAAATTAGTTTCTGAAACAGTACCTGTAAGTTTATTACGTATTAAGATGATAAAATTAATAATGCAATCAATTTATTATATTTTTGATATAATTTTATATATAGTACTCTAAAAAGGAATAAATTAAGTTTGCAGTTACATCAGATTGTATAGGGTATATAGTACTAGCTCAATTTTATTATTGTAGACCCATGAGGATTATCGAGGCCTGGAGAGAGCTAAAGAGGCAATGATTGATGTTGCTCAATATATTAATGAAGTGAAACGTGATAGTGAACTATTAGTAGTACTGAATAAAATTCAAGTAAGTATTTTTGTGCTTACTTCCCATCTTTATAAAGAATATGTATTTTTGAAACAAATCTATTTCTATCTATTCTTAAATTTCAATTAAAATGTACATAAGACATATATATGATTATATCTTTGTGCTTGTTTTAGGATAGTATATCAGAGTTATCACTTCCTGAAGGAACAGATCTCAGGTTATATGGTAAATTAATATTAGATGGTGAATTGAGAATAAAAGCACATGAAGATCAGAAACAAAAAACTAGATACGTTTTTATATTCGATAAAATAATGCTTCTGTGCAAAAATGCCAAATTAGGGGTAAGCAAGTTCTATTCATGTTTAATATGCTACGAGTTCTGCTTGTATATATAATAATTCATTAATATATTGAATTTCAGAATGCTCAATATACATTTAGGGAATCAATACCTTTACATGAATATAGAATAGATGACTCACAAACCAGAAGAACTTTGGGTAAAGACACTAGATTTCAATACAGTTGGTTTTTAGTAAGGAAGTAAGTTCTGTTTTGTAAATTATTAATTTATGTACATAAATAAATATTAATTTATTTATCTAAATTTAATCTGAAAATTTTCCACAAAAACAGTTTCAGTTCAACAGTTCAAATTAAAATTGCAGAATTACATAAAATGGATCGCACAAAATCATATTGAACACTAAACATATATAAACATGCACGTACATGAAAACTGTGTTGAGTTCGGAAAGTTTTCAGACCATTATATATTGTATATATATATATATATATATATATATATATATATAGTTTTATTACATACCTATGTTTAATTTGTGAAATATAACTGATTGATTAAATCCGGTCATTCAAATTACTCAAGAAATTTTCTTATTTTTAATATCTATTAATTAAGAACAAGGTGTTTCTACATTTAATATTAGTTCTATATAAATAACATATGCCATACATTAATTATCAAAAACATCATTACTTAATATTTATTACTTGTTTACATTTTTGAAAAAACTCAAACTTTTATACATTTTTAGAAGAAGAGAAACGGCGTATACGTTATATGCACATACAGAAGAGAAAAAAAGAAATTGGATCCGAGCTATGCAGGAAGCTATGTAAGTTTAGATATTTTATTTTTAATTATAAAAACAATTAACAGGAAATGTCTTTGCAAATCAATTGTAGAAGCGGCAATGCTATTGTTTTAATAAGTTATTTTATCATGAATCTTTTTACCATAATGAATTTTGCTTGTTTTCTTTTCATGGTAATTTCTTTCGTTTTGCTGAATTTCTATTTGGTACATTTCTTTCATTGAAACTTACATTCTGTAGATTATTTTTTGGTTTATCAGTTTTTATTACCTTTTTCTTAATTAATGTGACACTGTCGCATAAACAAGCGGTATTTATATATTTATTGGAATATTTGTCACAAGGTTTTACTTTTTTATATCTCTGGTTCATATCTGATGCATGAAAATTGTTTTCTTGTGAACTTTCTTGAAATAATGTGCCTGACGAATCTTTATGTTTACTAGTTTTTATATCATATTTTTTGCATAGTTGTTTATTATTCTGAAACGCTATAGTTTTGCAATCACAACTGTCTGCACACACTCTGTGATATCGTGTGCCATCAATATCCCAGCATCTGTTGTCGCTTCTATGATAGTTTGTTACTATTGATGAATTGGAATCGCAAATATCGAAAGAAGATGATTCATCTGATTTATGAAATTCTATTTGTTTGACGTTATTTGGAATACTTGTTATGTAATTAGCATGCACTGTTGTATTTAAAGGACTTCGAATTGTAGGATATTTACACATTTTCATTCGCTCCAGATCTATGTAGGAATCATCATGGTCTACCCAATATGAATTTGTTTGTTTTTTTGGCTTGACTTTCAAAAAACCTTCATCTCTTTTTGTTGATTTACAAATTGGTTTCTGGGTTACCTGTTGATTTTGTTACATTTCAAAAAAGTAATAAATTATATAATTAGTCATGTTTTTATGGGATATATTTTCTTTTACCTTTGACTGAGGGGAAGTTGATGGATCTCTGCTGCTAGAAGTGCTTGGTGTATTAATATATGAACTTGTCGATGGGCTGCTCTTCTTTGTATTCTATTTTAATAATATTTATTCTTAGGCTTATTATTAAAGAATTTAAATATATTTGATGCAACATGTAATTCTATAAAACCAATTATTCAAATACCATTTGTTTTGTATCACAAGCGATGATATCACTGTCGTAGTTGTAGCATCTAATTTCTTTCTCAGATGAAACAGACGCTTTACCTGATGTTTTCCTCTTTTTCTTTCTTTGAGATGATGTTGGTCTAGTTTTGTGTTTTACTGCTGGGGATTTGCTTCTTGCTGTAGCTAATGTAATTGATACAATTATAAATAAAGGAAAAACGTAAGGTAATAAGAATGTGTAACAAAGGGTCTTTAACTTATTACATTCACTAATTGATCACAAATTTAAACCAATACCAATAATGTAACTCAATGTGTAATATTTTTTTTAACTTTCCGCAGAAGAAGTTTATGTTTTCATCAAAAAATCCGATATGCTAATTTTATGTTTTCTCGACGTTTCAAGCTATTCTGAATCAATGAGACCAAATTTAGAAATATTATGTGGGTGTGTGTATGCTTATGTGAACAGATTTTTTGCCATAAATCGACGTTTTCTCAAAAATGGCTGGACCGAGGACTAGCGTTCATCAATATGCGCTTCGATCTGCCAAGCTGTTTCTTTGTAAATAGCAAAAAAGTGAAACTTTTTTCGTCCATGTTTTAGCCCGCAATTCTGAATCGATTTTGAAAATTCAAAAACTGTTCGAAAGATATATGGTTGGGAATCGTGCTGATTAGTGTTTGGTAAAGATCGGTCGGGCCGTTTTCTAGTAATAAAGTTTTAAAAAAAAATTTCGACGATTTTTATGTTTTTTTGTTTGACGATAGGTCCCATAGTCTTGTAGATCATACTAAAATAAAAAGGCCCTACGACACCCTACAATACGTTTAATTTTAAAAATTCTTCGAAGTTTGCAAAAATTAATTCATAAATTAATTTATTTTATATTGATTAAGTTGATTATTTAAACATATCGGGAAGTTCATGCAACTTGCCTGAAGGCAAAATACCAATACCAACTAGTTTGTTTTTAATATTTATTCGTGAATATTTATATTAAACTTGTTGGTCTGTGTTTGAAAGTTTTGTTTTATAGATATATCTTACCATTCCCTAGTTTTGGTGGACCATAGTAATCAACCCAAGTTTTTTTCTCAAATCCTTTATTTGTTTTCGCACATCTGTTCATGACTAATTCATTTTATACATTTTCTATTAGAACTTTCGCGTTGACTTTCTTCCTAATCTTATTCGTCATAGTTTTCAAATTATTGATTATTTCTTCAAATTTTTAAGTTGCCATGCTTATTCGCAACATGATATTTAAAATCATATTTTTATATATTTTTATTATTTTTTATAATTAAAGTAATGACATTTATTAATTTTGAAGATTTTGTTTTTGACTTATGATTTTTTTCAACTGTCGATTTGCCCTGGTGCTTATCATACTACTTTTTTCGCCATATAGCCATAATATATATAAGAATTTTTAATTTGTCATATTTTTGAACAACTTCATACAATTTTTTAAGATTGCATAAAATTTAAAATTATGTATTAAATTTTCGAACTTTGTTTCCACATTTAAAAACAAAACTTAATTAAAAAAATTAGTTTTTTTTATTCAAAATTTTAAACAATATTACTATTTTCATTATATTTTTCTGAGAAATGTTCAGAAGAACTTGAAACAGATAAAAAATATTTAGTTTTTAGAAATTTTAACTAAGGGAATAAGTTTATTGCAATTTAAAAATAAACTAGTGGTGTTTCGCATCGTGCCTTAAGGCAAATTGCTGGTACTTCCCGTTCCTTAATGAAATATTAGAGGAATATTAAATGTTTTCAAATAGATTATTATAAATAATGTTACTCTCATTATTCTTATTTATAAAAATTAAATAAACAAACTTAATCAATCGGGTTTAAAATGAAGAACATTGTCATATTATATAAACTGAATTGCAAAGTTAAAATTATTTATTTGAAGTATGTAAGTGATATTTAGAACTTTTTCTAGAATTAGAATTACAGTTCAAATTATTTTTTGATATACAAAAAAATATTTTTTTGAAAATTAAAAAAAAAATGGAAAAAAATTCTTTCCCCAAAAAAGCAACACCGTTTCGGATGCTAAGATCTCTCAAAAATTGATTTTTTCACCTTTAGCTCTATATCTCCGAAACGGCTGGACCTGCCTCTGCTAAAATCTAATCACCACTTCTCCCCAACATTACAAATCGAATGTTTTTTGGATCATTCAAATCGGTTGATCCGTTCTCTTAAAAAACGACATTTTTAGCACTTTTTGTTCCAAATTTCCGAAGTCGCTGAACCTGCCTTCGTCAAAAACTAATCAGCACGTCTCCTCATCAATAGAAATCGAATTTTTGTTGAACCATTCAAATCGGTTCATTTCATTTTCGATTTTCGGCCCATTACTATCCTACGGGAAGTTAAAATATATTATTTATTTCTACTATCCATAATTTATGTGATTTGATTTATATATATTACAGGGATAATGTGGAACCGGCAGTGTGCATGAAAACCGATCACAAATTTGTTTTGAAAACATTTGATCGACCTTTAGCTTGTCATCACTGTTCGAAATTTCTTAAAGGGCGAATATTTCAGGTATATATTATTTAATTCAAAAAAATTCATGTAATTTAATTATTTATTTACAAAAAAAAATATAACTTACATTTGCTCTTTAAAAAATAAATGTAAAGAGCTAATTCAGATTATTAGAAAAAGTGTTTTTTCACTCTAAAGTTATTTTTTAACTTTAAGTGATTAGAGAAAGTATTTTTTCGTCTAAAGTTATTTTTATACAGGGTTACAAATGTGAAAGTTGTGGCATAGCAGTCCATAAGACTTGCATAGCGAATTCTGGGCGGTGTGGACCACCTCAACCACCGCCACCGCCAGCAAATGTGGTCGATAGACAATTAGCGGAATATTTATGGTAATATTCATCACTAAACCACCATGCTATAAATGTATAAAGTAGAATATATTATGATAAAAAAGAATTATATTCACTTTTTTCGAAGGTATGTCGGAGAAATGGGTAGAGATTGTGCGACCAGAAAATTAGAACAAAGAATAAATGGTACCTATTTATTACGAGTTAGACCTCAAGGGCCAACTCATCCCGATGAGACCCCTTATGCATTGAGCCTAAAGTGAGTGTTTATATTTCATTTATTTTGTTCAAAATTTTTTCAGATAAGATTTAATTTTAATTTTTTTCAGGACTGATGATAAAGTAAAGCATATGAAAGTATATAAAAAGCAAGTAGAATTAGTACCACAATATTATCTATCCGAATCTCGATATTTTAAAAGTATTGTTGATTTAATTGCATATTATGAGCGTACAAGTCTTGGCGAAAATTATGTTGGGTTTGTATTTTAGTATTTATGTCTAAATGACCCCAGTCTACATTTTATATATTAATTTATATGCATCTTTTTAATGTCATTCAACTTTTATAGATTGGACGTGAGTTTGCAGTGGCCTTTTCATCAAATTTTAGCTATAGCCGAATACAATTTCGAGCCCGATGAGACTAATCAATTGCCTCTAGTCAAGGGATGTGAAGTTCTTATTTTGAGCAAAGAAGGCGATGAGCGAGGATGGTGGAGGGGAAAAGTCATGGACAGAGTAAATATAAATTTGTTAAACTATAGCATACTATTTTTACGATAACTGACTATTCTTACTTGAATTATTTTCTTCAGAACATATTTATACCTGAATTTAAGTACATATTAAGTAATTTTAGCATTGTTAATTATATGACAAGGCATATTTTAAAAATTATTTTTTTCATATCCAACTAATATCACATTTATACTACATTCATATAACTAAGGAATAATGTATTTATCTCTGGTGTATATTTTATTAACTTCCCGAAGAAGTAGATTATGTTATCATAAAAAAAATCCGATTCCATAATTTTATGTTTTCCCGACGTTTCAAACCATTCTGAATCGAAAGAGACCAAATTTGGAAAAAGTGTATGTGTGTGTGTGTGAACAGATTTTTTGCCGTAAATCGACGTTTTCTCAAAAACGGCTGGACTGATTTCAAAAATTTAAAAACTATTCGATGTATCTCGATGAGGACTATCGTTTATCAATTTTGCGCGACGATCGGCCAAACCGTTTCTTTGTAAATAGCAGATAAGAGTAAATTTTTTTGTTTTAGCGTTTCAGCCCGCAATTCTGAATCGACTTTACAAATTCAAAAACCGTTTGAAAGATATTGGGAATCGACCTGATTAGTTTTTGATAAAGATCGCCTGGGCCGTATTCTTGTAATAAAGTGTTAAAATTTTTTTTTCGAATATTTCTATGATTTTTTTGACGGTAGATTCCATAGCCTTATTATAGATCATACTAAAATATTACGGCCTTACGACAAGTCGTTTAATTTTAAAAATTCTTTAAAGTTTGCAAAAATTAGTATCGTTTTTTTGTCATTTTTCAAAATTAGACCTTTCATCGACATTTGCCCAAAAACGCCTGAACCGAGTTTAGAAATATAAAAGCCATTGTATGTATCTCAGTGAGGACTATCGTTTGTCAGTTTTGTGCAACGATTTGCCAAGCCGTTTCTTTGTAATTTGGAAAAAAGTGTTAAACTTTTCGACCACATTTAAGCACAAACTACCGAATCGATTTTAAAAAATCAAAAACTGTTCGAAAGATATTGGTTGGGTATGATACTGATTTGTTTTAGGCGAAAATCTACTGAGCCGTTTTCTTGTAATTCGTTTTTGAAAAAAAAATTGAGTCGATTTTTATGAAACTTTTTTTGGCGATATATATCATTGTCTTGTAGAACCATACTGAAATATTACGGACTTATGACAAGTAGTTTTAATTTTAAAAATTCATCAAAGTTTGAGAAAATAAGTAGATTTTTTGACGTTTGTTAAAATTAAAATTAGACGATTTACTTGGTATAACGATAGAGTACTCACTCCTAATGAACATACTAAATCATTAAAGTCCTACCGAAACTGGTTCAATTATAAAAGTTATTGATTTTTGAAAATTTGCTTTTTGAGAATACTTTGAGTTAACGTGTTCGTTCGTTTTCAATTATGTGTAATAAATCCACTCGAAATACTTTTAATCACTCATAAATTAATTTATGTTTCATTGATTAAGTCGATTATTTACACATAAACAAGAAGTTCATGTAACTTGCCTGAAGGAAAAATACCAATACCAACTAATTTTAGAATTATGTTGATTATATGACATATATTTTAAATATTATTTTTTCATATTGAAACAATATCATATTTATACTATGTATATGTATGTATTTTATTCTAAATTGCCTATAAAGATCTTACTAATCCCATTATTTCATTGTTTCAGGTTGGTTTCTTTCCAAAAGATTATGTAAGAGAGACTCGACATGTAAGTGATTATTAGTGATAATCAAAATGAAGAGCTTATCGGGTATGTGTGCATTTGTTTTGATTTTAATTATTATTTGCAGAAAATTTGTACAATTTTAGAATCATGTTTATTCATACTCATGCTTTGACTTTTGCAGTAATGCGAATTTTTTATTTAGTTGTCGAACATTGAAAACATCTATTGTTTGTTATAGATATAATTTTAATTTTCGACATAGTCATTTTATGTCGCTGACAATATATTTTACAGAACATATTCTCAATGTTTTATAATTCAAATAACGTTGTGTTATGAACAATTTACAATTTTAGTAGTGACAATTTTAATTAAAATAAATAATACTTATCATCATATTAGTTATTGAAAAGAAATTGTTGGCGTTGTATTTTTATTAAAATTTAGATATTGTTCAAAAATGTATAATGCCAGTAGGCAATTCTTAATTTTTTTATTTACTCAATACAATTTAAAGAGTTTAGAATGTGACATTTATCTATAATACTTATGATTGTACCTGTTGCATATTTATATTTACAAGAAGCTTGAAATTTATGTGGTATACCATTTAATATAATGAATAATAATAGATATATAAATTCTATAGAAAATTATGTATCTATTAAGTGAAATAATGAGTCTAAAAATGTTAGTGACTGTAAAATGAAAAGAAAAACTTTATAGTTTTTCAATAGATTAAAATACATACTAAATTGATTGAATTGCTCACATAGAATATTTAAATTTCTGAATTCAAATGTGAAGTGCAAAATTAGTTAAATGTATACATTTTCTAAAATGTATATAAAGTTGAAATGACATGACTCTTCTATATATACAATATATATATATATATATATATATATATATATATATATACTTATATTTGTATACATACATACGCTCTAATTAAGAAAAGTGCCAAAGGTCTAATTAGTTTTTCAACTCTGATTTGTAATACAATTCGGTGTATAAAGCGCATTCCACAAAATTTGAAATTATTCATACATATCTAACACGTCCATTTACTTAATTTTTCTTGTAAATATATTATTAACGGAATATATTAAAATACAGATTATTATATATTGAAAATATAGATATATATGCATTTAATTGATTCTAAGGAAAGTATATTTTATAAAGTACATTTTTGATGAAATCATAGTAACTTTTAAATACCATACGAAAAATTCAAAGATTTTACCAATAATATGATTTGAAATAAATAATAGCATTGCTTATTTTATTAAAGGGTTTTTTGCAATTGATTGAATGCTATTAAAATTCAGCGTAAACTATATATTTGCGTTTCGAATATTTAATTTTTTGTTTACTATAATTTAAATGATATTTTTAATATGATTGTGAATTTACACTAAAATTATATTTTAAAATGTTTACTAGCGGATATTAATTTACTACGAGGTATATTATAGTTTTCACTTCTACCATTGAAGCAAAATATGATATACTTACAATAATCTGAGGTATTTTTATTTAAATTAAACTATACATTATAACATCATTTGCAACATTAATTTCAATATTAGTACTATATTTAAAAAAGCATTAATTAGTTATATTTTTTTTTAAAAAAAGAAAATATCGACTGATGAGTAAGTGGCCCATTTAACAATGGTATCGAAATATTTTTAAGTCCAATATGAATTTATAGCTTTTTATCTTTACATTTGAATTCACTTACTTGTGGATCGATACACCGCTGAAAATCATACTTTTTCTTTTAAAATCTTGTTTAATATTAAATGCCTGCAAATTGCGATTAGCCTGTGCATAATTTTTTTCTCTAGTGATATTAGATTTATGAATAATGAATCGTGTCATGGTTAAAAAGAATCTATTTTTTATATTCTTTTTTTGTACAATGTTACTAAAACAATATCGATAGTTTAAAAGCATGTGGACATATTTTTAAGTTATTGAATTTAAAAAAAAAGTTAATATAAGCCCAAATTAAGAATTTGGTAGTCAATTGATTGCATAAACGTTATTTCGAATAATTTTAAATTTTATGCAAATATTATATTCAATGCTATCATGCGTGTTCGAAAAATATATAATATTTATATGATTTAAATGTGAATATATTTATGTGTATAAACCTTGACTATAGAAATTAAATTCAAGAGTTGTTAATGTTGAAAATGCTTAACGAAAATACAAAATAAATATAATACAAGTGAGTTTTTGATTTTTTAAATATTTGAATTTATTTTTTGTTTGTTTTAAATGTTACGGTAGACAAATATGCTATTTCGTTACTTAATCGATTATAACTCGTTCAAATTAGCTGATTTTGGACAAAAATCGATAACAATTCAGATATTATACAATCTTAAAAGATAGGTGGAATTCTATAGTGTTATGAAATAAGTAGAGAAATAGAAAAATTTCATTTATTAGTACGGAACCCGACCTTTATAATTTATATCATATTTATGCAATATTTTAAGTTTATGAGATTATTAATTAAAAACGATTTTGATTATTAGCGGGTACTGATCAAAATTACTCAAATTATTTTAGCTCAGAATAATTTCTTATAATCTTATCCTAAGGTAGGATTTTGAAATAGATATTTTAATTTTAATAATAAATTAAATATATCTATTTCAAATCCTTTTTAAATTTATTAAAAATTAAATATATCTATTTCAAAATCCTTAAGAGCTTAAATATTATGAGTAATTTTGATCAGTACCCGCTAATAATCGAAATTGTATTTTAATAATTAATCTCATAAACTTAAAAATATCCATATATATATGATATCAAACACCATAGAGTATAAAGAAATTACAAAGTTGCTGAAAAAAAGTATTAAGTAATAACTAAAATAGTGCTATTATTTGTTTGTATGATCCATTATCATAGTTTATTATGCATTATTCTAATTTGGATAACTAATGCCTTTCAAAACCTTCATAAAATTGGAATATTCCAATCGAGTAATCTATTGCTATTATTGCAAATATTTTGAGAATTCATACATGGCCTAAGACCAAATTGATAAAAAATCATAAATTTTAAATTAAGTCAAAGTTAATCAGATATGTACTACTGGTATTTCTGGAATAGAAAAGATCAACAGTTGTTAATAAAACTAATCTAATTAAAAATTAGAAAGTGCACCTTATAAAACAAACATATTTTTATTAATATTATTGATTATATATAAAAAAAAGTATTTGGATAATATACAAGAACTTAATACAATTTTATAATAATAATTAACAACAGAATAACATTAAGTTTTTGTTTTAAATATTTTGGAGACTAATTATAAGTGTTGTCGGTTTTACAGAGGGGCACATGTTCCAAGGCGCACAAACTGAATATCTGAAATAATAAAAATAGTTTACAAACGGAATAGAGATAAATGAAAATATAATTATAAGTTCAAAAAGTTTTGTTGAACTAAAGTTCGTGGCACTCATATAGATAGTGGAGAACAAGAACATTGTAAACCGTACGTTTAAATTATAATTTGTTTGTAGTAACTGTTACATTATCTTTCAGCATCCACACCGATATGACAATCCACACCGATTGTCATATTTGTCTTACTATACTTGAGCATATTTTTGTTTACTTTTTATTATTATCTAGCATATACCATGCACTGAATCATATTTGAGATCTATAATCTCAAGTGAAAATCTGTTGGCCGAGATTGGGATCGAACCCGGAACTATTGATGGTCTACAAAACCACGGCTTACTTTTGGTCCGGGTGCTAGCAACGTTTTCGAGAAAGAACTTTAGGCAGGCTGATTTCTTGATATGTGGTCCTTGGTGCTCTGTGAAAAGAGCACAATGACCGCATACCAAAAAATCAGCCAGCCTAAAGTTCTTGTTTTGAAAACGTTGCTGCCTCCTATACTATTTATTTACATAACACATTTGACAAATTAATTTTCAAACCTTCGGATGTACAACTATTTTGACACATCAGCCTCTGTCTATTGTGATAGGTGTTGCCATCACTGGCACAAACAGGATTATATTCAGGAGTTGTGGAACATCTAGCAAGACATGCGGCCAATTGTGGTGAAGGCGGCATTGCAACTGTTGGATCCGGGAAGGAACTAAAAATGGTAAGAAATATAAATGTGGACGAAAATGTTTAAATACTTTCAAAATTAGTCTTTTATTTTATTTGCCGTATTCTATATTCGGCATTTAACATTTAACCTCAACGAGGATTGGATTGAAAATAATCTAATATCCCAAATTAGAATTGAAGTGCCCTAGTTTGCGAATCAGGTGAAAATGCAATAAATTACTAACAGTTTTAGTCGGTTTTAATAATAGGTTCAAATTTTAAAATAATTTAAAAAACCTTTACATTTATAAAGACATTCATGGATTCAT